TACACCAGTACGGGGAGAGATTTATAAAAATAAAAATATATTTTTAATAAATCTTTAATTACGAAGAATATTTATGTTTCTGAGACAACGTACTGATAAACAGCAAATCCTAGTAATGAAACTAGAAGAGAAACACACTAATGTAAAATTTAAATTAGGAAAATGAGTAACTTTATTTTGACTAAGAACTTGTATAAAATTCTATGAAAAAGTTTTATTCAAAATCTACGCCAGAACAAGGTTGTTGTTTTGCCTAATATTAAATCCTGGTTATAATTTTGTGAAGACCTTGTAGGATTCTCCACTGTGTAATTCTAAGTTACAGTTAAAAGTGAAGAATCTTAAGAACCAGTAAGCGAATAATCGCTCGAGTTCGTGAGACAGAGAATAAACTTGGAAAGGGTTAAAAGACCCTTTATGATCCAAATAAGATTTAATAGAACTCCGTCTTGAAGTAGTACAATACACTTGGGCTTGAACTTCAGAGACTAAGAATCAAACTAATCTTATCTAAAGCGATATAGCCGAAGCTATCAAATTTCTAACGGATTTGGCCGCTAATTGACTGCGAAGCTATCAAAGGCCTAAAGTATGGTCTAATGTAATAATAGCTTACGAGAGAGTAGCCTAAAAAGGCGGACGCGTGCAGCGAGAATATCTGGTATCTCTCTCACTAAGGCAAAGAACTTCGCGATTAAATACCGCTCTTCCTCATTAGCATTCAGACGTGATTCTAAAACTACGTTCTGACCGGAAATGGTAAGCTGAAATTAAGAAGCAACAGGACAGGAAGTTTAACTCAAAATTTAACTGTTAGCTAAATAAAAATAATCCTAACAAGCTTCTGCTAAGACACAAACCTATGGATGGAAACTGAGAATCATAAGAAAAGATCTTCCACCCACATATCGAAACCTTATACGAAACCTAAAAATTTACAAATTATGTAAGATCCTGCATAGACGTCCTCATTATGTATTCAGACGTGATTCTAAAACTACGTTCTGGCCGGAAGTGGTAAGTTGAAATTAAGAATCGATAGGAAAGGAAGTTTAACTCAAAGTTTAACTGTTAATAAAATTAACATAATCCTTACAATCTTATTATTAAATTCTTTTTATTTAAAAAAACTTTCCTTTCTGATTTCAATTCCTAGCCAGAAGACAAATTTAAATGACGTTATATGCAAATTTTCAATGAGTTTGGAAATAGTATTTAAGTAGTAGAACTGAAGAGTTTAGAAGCAGAAAAGTTAATTATGACTAGAGCGGGTTTACTCCGAAAACGAGTGTACGCCTCGAGCAGATTTATGCCACGGGTTTGCAAGTAGCTATGTAGCTGAGTATTTGTACACTTGCTCTTAGATTATATTGATACTGCAAACTTGGCTTTGCGGTGTGCAGCTGATAAATGTGATTTAGATTAAAGTAGGAGACAGTTGTGTAGTTGAAACTGATTCATTTTAATTGCACATACTATTTTGTGTTAAGTTACTTAATCATAAATGGTGGTTAGTTTGTGAGCACCGAATGTGTGCGTGTTCTCTTCAGTCTAGTTTAAAATGTTCTTATAACCTTCGTCGGCAGCCATCTGTTTTTCAAAACATAACAAGAATTCCGTATCTCGTATTCAGTAGGGTCTACATTTTATGCTCCCTAAAAGAAAAGACTCTACGATTTAATAACCTGTCGAAGTTTGTGATTAACAATAGCTGATATCAAATTTTGCTCTATAATTTAAGAAAGACTCAATTCTTTTTAGACTTATTGGCACAAAACTCAATAAAAAATTCTCTGAGAGGTTTTTTTTTTCTTACGCGAAACAGAGCTTCCAACGAATTGGTTTGCCCAGAAACGTAAAATGATCGCGGCTACATACGTAAAACAAATCACTGAAGCATCTGTTGTCTGAAAATTGAGGTTAGAAATTTCCCGTTCAAACTAATGCTGGAAACAATGCGTCTCTTGGAAAAGTTTTTACTTTACCTAAAAATAAAGTATAATAAAATCATTAGAATACATACATAAAAATAAATACATAAAAATACAATAAATACATAAAAATGTATCAAATTACACAAGTGAAATCCTCTCTCTCTCTTTTAACTTTGTTGCTTAACTTTTGAATTTGAATGTAGTATTACAAAATGTCTAAATTAAGTAAAATATATATAAATAAACTTAATTTGTTTTAATTGCTAGTCTTCAATTTCTTAGATACTCATATTATATTAAATATGTATTGTTATACGTTAATAACAACTCCGGAGGGAGAATTCAGATGTAATTGATTTTTATGTTCGGTTGAATTGTCTTTTGCAGTCTTTTTATAGCAAACAGTATGCGAAGTGCGTAGTAGTTTCTGTGCCTCGTCTCAAGCAAAAATGGACTGGAGCAGCATCACGCGTTAAAGTTTTGCATCAAATACAGAAATTTTGTACTGAATAATCATTGCAGTTGTTGAGGACAGTTTATGTTTAGCCTTTTGCACAAACCACGTGACATTATCATAGGCGGAAGTAACAGCACTGAGGAAGAAGATTGCCCAAGTCGTCCTTCAGTTTCAAAGCCTGAGAACAAGGTACCTCAGATACAGAATTTCCGGGTAGTTGAGTATTTCAGGAAAGGAGTCATATGGAACCACTTAAAATTGCAAATAAATGGTTTATTCGTTAAGACAATGCGCCAAGTCACATACATTGCCTATGAAGGCGTTTTGGGTTCAAAAGATATCACAACGTTTATTCATTTCCATTTACTACACAGCCTGACTTATACCATAAGCTCAAAACCCAATGTAGAGTTCATCTCCGGACAGCTGATAATGGCCTGGCATCTGCAATACGGGATTTGAAACAACAGATCAATAAACATTTTTTCCATTGCATTTAAAAATGCAGCAATGCCGAATTCATTGTATTCAATCACAAGGTGTCTGTTTGAAGATAATAAACAGTAACTTCATGTACGTTGAACAAAAGAAATTTTTTAAAGTAATTATTAATTTTGGGAGAAACCGTGTATATGCATTTATGATTTTTAAAGTTAGCTAACGATATAGGTAAGAAAGATTCCTATTTTTTGATGGATGTAAATATCAGGTTTCAAAAACAGAGGTCATTTATTTACTCCTTGAATGATTTTAATGCCCCAAACAATTTATTTCAATATTATTTTTTGAAGTGTTCTATGTGTGTAGTCTTTTCTCTTAGCTACCAATGCACATCTTGAATTCCATGACGAAAGCGTAGGAAATTTTCTTCCAGATACATTTTTCATAGTACGTGATTGGTAGATAAAAAGAAATGGCTCTTTTAAATGGTTATAAAGCAGAATAGATGTCACAGAAAAAGTTTTGTTGGAATGTGTTATAAGCTCAGTTACCTGTTTAATCAACATCGTTCAAACAATATAAAAATGTATTCTATAAAACGCACTCATTTTTTCAAAAGAAGCTAATACAATATTTTGTATTAGCTTCTTTTGAAAATTATTGTTATTTGTTGTTTATTTGTTGTTTTTTTGAAGAAAAATTTATCACTGGGCATAAAAAACAAAACATTTTTGCCTCTTTTACATTTGTTTACAAGGAATTATTGCATTTCTCGTGGTGCAAGTGGTTAGTTACCATGTCGAGCTGGCGATTAGCAGATCCGTGGCTCGAGTGTACAGTTGAATTATCATGTGCCTAACCTCTACAAACCTAAATATCTTTACAGTGTTGTCGAACTAAATTGTGGTGGAAGTTAACTCGTTTCCATATCAGTTTGATCGACTGTGTGCTTCACCTCAGTCAGCTTTTAAGTGAGAGAGAGAATATAAACAAATATCGTACTTTCCGTGCATAGTCTCTTGAACATAAGTGGTGATACATTCAGCTAGCACTTGGGAGATTCATAATTTGAATCCTGCTGTGGACATAGCCGATTTAGTGAGTTTTTTTGTTCCGAAAGAATTAGATGTCTCTACATGCTTACTATAAAGTTTTAAATATGTACACATAAAAATTAATATTATTTAAAAGTTGAAAACTCTTAAAGGTACCAGAAACAACTAAACTTAACTGAAAAAGTTCTGACATATTCTTGAAAAACTTTTGGTCATCATTAATTTCCTTGCACTGTAAAAATGAACCGCTGTTTCATGTCTTATCAATTACCGATAATGCTGGTTGGTTAACCAAATTTCGTTTTAAACAGCAATATGTTCAATAAAGAAATAAGTGATCATTGAAATTTTCATTTCATGCAAAATTTCTTATTAAATTTTACGGGACTTTCTTGTCAATTTTACAGGAAAATGAAAGTGATAGTGATAGTAACAAACGCAAGAGTTGCCAACCATACCAACTGCTGTTATAATAGTCAATTGTGATAAAATTATTCTTGCACAAGAACTCTTGCATTTGTGGTGAGAAACAGTTACATAAGCGGTTAGAAATATTGCCAGTTATCTTGGGACACAGCTGGTATGAAAGATTTTGTAATTTGCCATTCAGAGGAATTTTTCATTTAATATTTATGCAAGAAGTAGCAAATATGAAATAAAATCACGTCGGAAATAAATTTAATATTTATGTAATTAAAATCGTCTTTCATTTCAAGCATTATCATCATCAGCATTACTATCATCTTTATTTCTGTCTATACCATTACTAAAGCAACATTTTTTATTTATTTATGGCATATTTTTCAAATGGAGAAGGAACTGGAATTAACTTCTGATAAGTCTAGCTAAGTTATTTTTTGATGATATAAAGTTGTATTTATAAGGTTATTTTAAATTGTGTTTATACCTGTATTTTTAATTTAGGCTGTACATTTACAGAAAATAGTAGCTTTTTGCTTATTCACCGTTAGTCTTATAGTTAGAAATTCACGGTATATACTATATATAGAACTATGAGAGATTTGAAAGCTCAACTTACATTTTGTACTAAAATTGTATCTGCTTTAGTATTCAGTAAAGAAATTATTACAGAAATTCAAAATAAATAGCTGATTTTAAACGTACAGTATAACATTATAATTTTATTTCTGTATGAGAGAGCAACAACATATTATTTTATATTACAAGAGAAAATGTCATTTGTATACACTTTTGAGAGTTTTCTTTATATCTTCTTTTTTTTTCATTGATTGATGACACATGAAAGTTCTTTGTGAATGGGAAGATTTTTTGAAACATCAAGTGATACAGTGCCATGAGGTTTGTCGTGCTGAAACGGCTTGATGCGATTTTTTACAGTTTCGGAAATTTCCTTTCAGCATCTCAAAACTGAGGGATGACTTGGAATGCTTCCACACATTTAGCGAATGAATCGAGAGACATCGCGATGCTTACAATGAAAATGAAGATATAAAAATTGAAGAGACTGCTAAAACCAAGTTTGAATGCACAGTTTCTGCTACCTAAAAGAGAGAAAAATCACGATAGTTATACATGTGCAAGTAAATCCATAACAATAATCATATATCTACAGCTTAAAGAATAATATAAAGAACAAAGTAGCTTATGAATATATTATAGGTGCTCGTGTCTGCAAATTCTCACATACACTCCACACGGCATAAAAGAAACTTCTACAGAAAAATGCATTTTGTTATTAAACGCTCACTACAGCATTTAGGTAAGCATGCCTTTAAATAACCTAAAGCTCAAATGAAAGTATTTAAACATATTTAATTTAATTTTCTGAGTTAATAACTAGTGTAAGTTTTAAATTGCAAATTAAGCAAATTTTTCTAAAGTTTATTGAGTTTATGTGAGTAACTGGGAAAAAACAAATTATCAATATCAATCAATATATTTTAATGAAATGAAAAAAATATCGTGATTTCTTTATTAATAAATATTATTTAGGTAATATGAAAAACGAAATTAGTACAATAATTAATTTGTTCTCTGCTTCAACGCAGAAAACATTCGTTGTACTTGTACAATGAATCAAGGCTGCTTTAACTCAATGTAAGAAAAGCAGACTCGATCCATTTCTGCTGTACAGGCTAAGAGATATTTTATTGTATCAGTTGTTGTATTTTGGTACTGTACAGCCAGGGGATGGTTAATGAAGAAGGGGTTCCATCTGAGCTAAAATTTTGGGACGCTTCACCTGAAGCACAGTATATATTTACCATTTAAAAAATAAATTAATGATATAAGGATAAGTGTGGGCTCCAAAACATCATGAATGGGCCATGCAGCATTAAAAAATAATTATTTCTTCAGATGAATGTCTTATAAGCGAATAATTAATCGACACATGTATAGCCGGACATAAGTAGCTCTGTGTGGAAGTGCTTTGCTTGCTCTGTAAGAGACACTTCCGTGGTCTGGACAACTGATGGTTGTGGTAATATGCACCGTGATAGATGCGGACTATGTAAACATCGTTGCTGACCTATAATAACCCTTTCATAATTTCTGATCACTGGGAATGACAAAGAGCGCTGTCCTATATGACAACGCTTTTTGTCACAACGCCAAAATTATGCTTCAGTAATTTGAAAAATGTAAGAAAGGTTGGCTGAAAATCTATTTTAATCACCAGTTAAAGTAAGCAAATGCTTCATGATGCACTCTTTTGTTTTGTAGATGGTAACGCCAGTTGTATGCATAACAGACTTGAATAAATCTAAAACATGATGCGAATATTCTTTGCCTTTTAATTATGGACTGTTTCGGATTTAGAATATTTCTTGAGCCCTGATCACACGATCGTTTAGATTTATCACGTAAGATTTTAGTTGATGTCCCTGCCTTTTTAACTTGACGGATTAATATTCCGGTTTAGCATATCTGAGATGTAATTGAGAGCGAGTTCCAATCTCATCAGCTATTTCCTCGTAATATAAGGGAACAAGACGATCTTTGCTTGTAAATCTGGTAGAATCGTTCTCCGGATACTTACCAAGAACTTTGGGGCAACATCATTAAATTTGTACTGTTTGTGTAATATGCCAATTTAACGTTCTACAAGACGCGTCTCATCAAAAAGGTTACGACATAATCAACTCTTCAAAGAAGTGCTTGAATTGCTTCGGTGTATGTTCTCTATTCCTATAAGTCATCTCTACTTTAAGATATAATTAAATCAACTGAAGGTGATATTCATAAATTGCAATTTTTGAATTTATACAATTACATGTACGCTTAAAAAGCAGCAATTATGTTAATTACATTAGATAAATTAATTGACTAATGCAATCGCTATTTTTAAAAAGCCAGTGACACCAAAGTCATTCAAAATAATTCTGAAAACTGTAACTGTTAATGTTTCTATAATCAAAGGTCCTTGTAAATTTACGCCTACCAACGGGCAAACGGTAATATCGCTGAATACTGGTCCGATTTTCAGATCCCGCCAACGGGGTAACTGCATGGGCGTTTTCGTGCTTTTTCCCCATGAGTAACATATCTACGAGCCAGTTTCCCTTAGTCCTCCGCAAAGGCATCTCTCTTCTTAAGCAGATAGCTTACGAGTGTTTTAATCAAATAAACTAAAACATATTTTTAAAATTTACATTGTAAACGAAAGTTATATCTATGGCGTACGCCGATGTCACAAATTTTGCAAATGACCTCCAGAAAATTAGAGATAAAATTAGTGCAAAATTCAAAGGTTTTTTTCCCTCGTTGATGATATATGTTGATAAGTCCAGAGTTATGGACATTTAATTTCGAATTATCCTTTGTTTCATATCAAAGAATAAGTTCTGCTAGTGCCATAGTTTTGACATCTGCACCTGTCAACGTGACTTCGAAGATACTAGAAAAATTATTTGCGCAATTCGAAAGATTAGGGAAATGTTCCTACCATCAGCTTTTTAATCCAACTGGTGTGTGACTTTTCACTTTTATCAGACACTTGAAGATCAAAATCTAATCAAAAATTTTACAATCGATGAGTAGTTTCGTAAAAATATGTGATAAGTCACATTACTCACATACATCTAGAAACATACTCGAGATAAATAGCTATCTCTATATGTGTTAATCAAATAAATTCTATGAGATTTAAGGTTTGAAAACTGTTATTTTCTTTCTTTCCTCTTTTATTTATCTATTCTTTGAAATGCAAATATGGTCTGATGTTAAAAAAATGACCTTGTAATATCTACATTCTGCTAAGTCTTTTCTTGTGGGCCCAGTGGACTATCATTTGTTGGTTTCTACACATAAGTTTGTTGGTCACTACTTTTAGAGTTAGTTTATATTTCTCTAAAATGAAACTAATATCTCGATTTCGTTATGAAGTCGAGTAATATTTTACTTCCACCAGTTTTCGAATCTGACATTCGATTAAACTATTTAATTTAGGCAAAGCACAGAAGATTCCTCTGCCTATCCTAACTTTCCACGAGAATGCTGCAGTTTCTCGCACCATTTGGTAAGTTTAAACAGTACTAGTGCCTGTTTGTCTCTGTCTTTGTTTAGACATTTCCTGTGAATATATGCTAATGGTAAGGCTGCAAATTAGTAGCTAAGTAGTTATAGATCTGGACAGAATGCTATTTTAGTGTTAGATTTGCAGTTTTAATTCAAAGGCACCTTGTGTAAGAATTTGTGCGTGGTAAAGTTATTGACTAATAATTATGTATTATAATCTACAACTGCATTTGCCGTGAAATAGGACACCTGACTATTACCATCATATGTCCACTGACTTAGAACTACTCCATCAAGACTGTTGAAAACAAAGTAGCCTTTAAAAGATATCTCGTGAAAGAGATCCCTTTAATAAATAAGCTCCATGGAGTCATAGCCATTTTGGGTAGGATAAGAGTAGAACCCCGTGAACTCTCTTGACGATAGGCACAGCTGACAGGTAGAAGTTCGCGAAACTCCAGAAGTACATCATAGTTTGAACAATTATAGTCCCACTGGACTATCTGCTCATCTCCGGCCCTAAGTTTAAGAAAGATCATACTAGGGGCGGTGCGAAGGGCCTTCCCACCTCTCTTTTCCAATCACAACCACTTGAGACGACTTTCGGCTCGCCGTGTATTTTGAGAGCCCCCTGCTGTATAGGTGCTGCATACTTACAAACATCTCTGCCGTCTGGACGAGTATTCCAGCCCAGGCCGAAACGTACTGCCTTCAGTATCGCTAACGCTATACCGTCTGGCCTGCACTCTTAATGATAGCTAATTGCATTGAAAGGTTTAAAACTTCTACTTATAGATACTGTTTTGTAGTCAAGGCACTACTTAATTGCTACTGCTTCTTGAAACCCTTTAAAACACCTTATTAACTTAACTAAAATGCACCACTTAAACCACTGTGTGTTATAGAAAGTTCAGTTATACATGAGGGTAACAGCAACAATGAGTTAATCAAGAGTTAGCAAGAGTGTAAGTGGCAGGAAAAGAAATAATCACAACCAATTTATATCAAAATTATTTATTTTCTTACGCTTTTCAAATAATATTGAAACATCTCTAACGTATTTACTCCCATAAGATAAAGTAGTGCTTATGAATATTTAATATTTCTTAGAGAATTAAGTCACATAATATGGTCAAAAGAAGTTAAAGTAAATACAGGCAGTAGGTGCTTGAAATTAACAACAAAAGAATATTCTTTCTACAGGTGGGGTATCAGGTTAATAAAAGAAGACATTAGTTATCTATGTGACGAATGTATCTCAGTAGATGGTAAAAATGACGAAAGGAACTCGCTGGGAAGTGAGAGCATCGTGATACTGGCACGGGAGTCCGTGAAATCGTCAAACTGTTGAAGTAAATAACTCTAAGATGTACAGGAATAGCAATTGCTGATTGCTGGGCGTCTCTTACATTCGAAAGCAAATTGTGGATCCGTCAGGCGAAATGGTCGGGAAAAAAATCACTCCACTCAGCCATCAAAAATAGGATGTTACAGGAAACAAGAATCTCCTTCTTTAGCCGCATCTTTAGCTAGATTCTTTGCTAGGTTATACCTCCACAGCGAGATATGTTTCGTTTACTTTGGTATCTTACTTGAATTCTTTGCTGAGTTATGACATTGTGTTTTAACTTTGCAGCGGGGTACGTTTAGCTTACGTTAATTATTTTTATTTGTTATTGTTACAAGCGCACGTTGAGTGAGTGAGTGTTGAGAAGGGAGGCAATCAACAGAAAAAAGTGAGCTCTCTCCTACCTGCTTCTCGTTTTTAAAAGTGCGAAAATTGTCTAAAAGAAGGGAGAATTTTCAGCACCCATGCAAGAACAAAACAATACAAAATTTACTACCTTTTCATTCAAATCAACCCTTTCGTCCTTGACGCCATAAAAACCAAAAAAGGTAACACTTTTTTCCTTGCTTTCCAGCATCTCAGTAACAGGATGTGAGAACCAGATTAAACCCCTGTGGGTTACCTATCTTTAAAAAAGAGTTAAAAAGTAGCTATTGAAAGCTAGAAAAATCCTCGCCATTTGTAATGAAAATATATAGGCTGTTTCAGCAAATCGGTTACAGACTTTCAGGAGAGACAGAATGCACCTAGAAGATGGAAACTCGCATAGAATTGCATGGTCAGAAACGCTTTGCTAGAATGGTAGAGACAACACAATACACAAAGACGGAAGATCACAAACATGTTGAGGAAACATGTTTATTATGGTTTCAGCAAGATGGGGCCACCTCACATTATAGCCTTGATATGCGTCTCCACCTGAGTGTAATGATTCTCAACAATGGATCGGCAGGGGTGGTCCGGTGCATTGGACAGCAAGATCACCAGACCTCACTTGAACTGACTATTGAACAAGCTCTTCCTTTACAAGAAGTCTTTGACAGTCTTATTACTTTACTAGATCTATTTCCACAATTTCTAACTGCTATTTTCAAAGAAGAGTGGCAACTGTATTTAAAATGTCTTCTATTTAATAATGATGCTATCAAATGATGTTATCAGAAGGGACAGCAGATTAATTCATTTAACTTATAGCAATCACTTTTTAAATTTTAATATAAAGATTTTGTACAACCATAGAATTTCCAGTTAAATGCAAATGTGCATTTGTTGCATTATAATAAGAATCAAACGAGAGTAGTATCCAATCATTAATGGTAGAATGGTTTTTAAGTTATACAAGAAATTTTTTAATTTGTTAACCTGAAAAAGAATGCATCAAAAAGTTGCATTAAAAGCATTTCAGTATTTAGGTCATTTAAACTGTTCATTAATTTTTCTACTATGAGCTTAGCTTGTTTTTCAAGAATGGTTAACATTAATTAACTTTACAAAATGTACATTTCATTTAGAAGAAACAATGAAATTATAAATTATCCTATGAAATAATTAAAAAGCTTTCATGAAAATCTATTTATTATTGCACTGCTTTCCCCATAACATTTTATGATACTCCTCATTTTCAACTTGAGCGATAATAATTAAATAATTTTCTTTCTCTTTTTTCCTGCCTTAAAATACAATAGTTCAGCTTTTGCAATGAGTACTTTTTTTAAAGGTTGAAATAGTCTTTTGTTTCCGTTTCCATAGCCTAGCTAATGGAAGTTTTCATATACCCACCATGAAAAAAACGAGTTTCGATTGAAATATTTCATTCATATTCTCAGTTAACAAAGGTAATAAAATCTAAAACCTTTGCGTTATAGAATTGACAAATTGTGCAAACTTACAACACATACCCAAGAAACATAGAAACATAATCTGGTTAAAAGGCTAAGTTAGATGCCGTCTATCGCACTTTAAATTTACCTAGTTGAAGAGTAAGGAAAGAAATCGAAGAAAATCCTTAGGCTTAGTAAGAAATTTAAGAAAAATAATTTAAATGCTCTACAATTCAAACATGCGGGAAAGATCATTTCCAGTAATTTCAGAAACTAACTTACCGCAGATGGGAACTTCGTAATCTCCGTCGACTACAATTCCTTCTGGAGACCATTGACCACTGGAACAAGTATACAATGAAGAGCCAAGCAAAACGTAATCCTCTTCGCATTGGTATAATGCCTTCGCACCTTCTGCAGGGAAACCCCAGCAGCTGCGTTCCTCTGTTAAGTTGTAGTAACCATGTATAATTTGAGGGGGATCTTTTTCACATCCAGGATCTATAAAGAATTAGACAATCATATGTTGTCATATCAAATTATGCATAAAAGTACCAAAATTATGGACGTCACAACACTGCACATTTCGTAAATATGGATCGAGCCTCTAAATTTAGAATTTCCTCTGTTTATTTGCCAGGTAGCAACAATATGAGTAAAGCGATTCGTCCTCAGTGCTGCCCTCCTGCTTTCAACGTCCTACGACTTTGTGATGTGCTACCACAAACAATAAATGTGTGTAAAACTTTGTTTTTAATGAGAAAATCTGCAGCTGAAACTGTTATGCTTCTGAAAACGTTTAAGGATGATCGGTTTAGTAATCACAAGTTTACAAGAAGTTCTGTTGTCAAATGATGACTGACTTGGGCATCTATTGACGAGCAAAAATGGGGAAAACATTAAACAAATGCAATAAACTATTAATAAGGTTTGCCAAAAGCATTTACCAGATGTTTGAAGAAACTCTTTCCATTCGATATTATTTGAAGAAGAATTGTTTGGTGCACGTGTCTCATTCAGACCAGTCACAGTATCTTCTTAGTCAGTGTGACTTGTTTCTCTTCCCCATGCGTAGAGAAAGCTCTTAAAAGCGATTCAGTTGCTAAGAAATATCAATTTAATGATGTGTATGAGAGGCAAGTAAACTGTTTCCACCAACGAGCAAAATGTTAGAGAAAATGTGGTGATGATGTTGAAAAATATTCTGAAGGAGAATAAAATGTGTATCCGTAAAGTAGCAGCCTAAAAGTAATTTCTTTTCTGTTCTTTTGGGGAGGCAGTACATTTTTAACTTTTTCTGGAAATCGTGATTGGCCGATTTTGGAAGAACTTTTGTTAATTCTCTAGAGAAAATTACATTGACCCTTTGACTGCGAGCAATGCTGCGGTCACATAGGCCTTCAGTCGGAAAAATTTGTCACAGGTGAACAGTGTCTTTCTCATGAGCGTTGGGTAGCAAAATGCCAATACTATACATCATGCTCATGCTGCAAAGGGCGCCTACAAAAGTTCTTCGATTACTGAAAATGTATCTCGCAAAATCCCAATCATTTCCAGGATCCAAAGCCAAGCAAACAAGTTGGCTGCATGGGTGTTTTTGTGCTTTCTGTATGTGGAAGATGAATACGAACCAGTTTTATTTAGAAAATCCTCAATGGAGGATTCTTTCTACTTAAAAGATAGCTATGTGTTTTAACCACATTCAGATTATTTATCCTAACCTAACCTAACCTAATCTAACCACATACATTTCCCGAGTAGAGATGTATGACAGAATGTCTATAATAAGTATCAGATAAGGCACAAATTTGAATTTAAATACAGTTTTTAGTGTAATCGCGGATTGTGGACTGTGCTTCGAATTGTATAATGCAAAAAGAAATTACTTAATTACTCTTACTATTATTAAAATATAACATTTCCCACAGGTTTGGTTTTTTAATCAATATATGCATAAAATGATGAAAAGTTAATTAGATGATCTCATTAATCAGGAATATTGTACGGGCGATGTTTTGATTGATTTATTTTATTATGGCTAAGCACACAAGGGCTTTCTTAAGAGGAAGGATGACTTCTTTGAGTACTTTCTAAGGTAAATGGGCTCATATAACTCATGAAGAAAATCATGCATATGGCCTATGCAACCAGAGAACTATAACTAGTGTTCTGCTACCGATGACCGTAGGTGCAGTGGTGTTCTTTGTATTTTGATCGTTTCTATAGTCTCTGCGTCAAAGGCATGACACCACATGCTTCTATGTGCTCCGCAGTTAATATATTAGCTAGAACATTATATATACAATCGCTGCAATACAAAAAAACGTACGTTTTTGTGGTCTGAAGGAAAGTTTGAATCTACGAGTTATTCTTAAATTTCAAGTAATTAGTTACAGTTTCTTAAAATTTCCTGAATTCTAAAGAAAATACTGGTTCCATCCGCTCTTGGCATCTTCTGCGTGTATATTGGATCCATTGTTCTTATTGATTTAAATCTATGCTTTTAAGTTTGAAACTGCGAATTTCTTTCAAATTAATTTACATATTTACTTACTTTTTCAGACAAACTGCAGTTCTCGTCTGGCATAATGGTTTTGATACTGACTGTGGCATAATTGCATAATGAAACTCAAAGAATCTTCCAAAGAACATAGGTCTTAGGAATTTTTTTATCATGATGAACACTAATTAAGCGCTCAATAAAAATTATTTTAACTAACGACTAAAGGCAGTTAATTGGAAAACGAAAAATCTGCATTCGCTGTGTAAATATATCCCTAAAGAGAAGGATTCAATAAAAAGGCTAATCATGAAACAATTTGTCAGTAACGCGCGTCCAAGCATTTTGGCAGAATTGCATTTCATACCCTTTCGTGATTTGCTAGTTAGTATTCATTAATAAGGCTGTCTTTCAAAAATCGGAATTCGTTTGAAATACCTTTTGAATTCCTTTAAACGATTTTCAGGATTTTGTTTTCTGAAGAGTGGAAAATACTGTCCCAGTTTAAATTTCTAGCTTCATTCACATGGTAATTTACCTTAGTGAATTTAATCCTTAATTTACCTCCCATGAAGGTTAATCGACACATTATTTAAGCCGCAACGCCCTCTTTTGGAGGACTAGGTTCTCTAATTCCCTATGGCGTCATATATCTGAATTTTGAGTGGTATATGTTAGTATACTGTATCTTCAAGGCGTTCTGTTCACTGAGCGTATGCAAGACTTTTCAAGAAACCTTACTCACCTAAACATTTCTGGAATGAATTAATAAGGATCCATGGTTTATTATAGAAAGTAAAAAGGACTTTCAAGCTACTTTGACTGGAACATTTAATTAAAAGTGTATGAAAATCAAATTTTGATGAAAACGGCAGAGCCGTGCTTACATATTTCTTCACCTATGGCAAAAACGTAAAAGCGCAAGGAAGCTCAAGCAAGCAAGGAATCTGATCATTTTATGGCAAAAAATATATACATACGTTAATAAATAAACAAAATATGTAAAAATACGTTATGTATAGACACATACATATACAATAAATGTTCACTATATCCGTTCACTTTTATATTAATTAAAGTTGACTATGCCAGATCATAATACCATAATCCTTCAGGTCACAATACCATAATTCATACAATAATGCAGTGGAACTTCGAGATACGAGTCTTAGTTCATTCCAGCATTGAGCTCGTAATCCTGTTAATCCGTTAATCCGTTCCTAACTCCAAAAATATCAAGATAAAAATATATTTTTCTAATAAATAACACTGGTAAATAATATAACTGCAGTTAACCTTTATGTTACCTTTCGAAAAAGGATAGCTTCTGGCACCTACCTTTTAACTGCTTCTTGTTAATCCACACCAACAACTTCTCAACATCTTCTAGGAGTTTTGGACGGTGCTTGGAAGTAATGGTAACTCCTTTGGCTACGTCACGTTTCTTAATTTCTTCCTGCTTCTTCAGAATAGTGCAAATCTTCGAAGTCAAAAGGCCGTAAGTCTCCGCCAATTCCGTTACTCTTACACCACGCTTATGTTTATGTATGTTTTTTTAAAAATTTCAAAGGCCATGTCTTCCTTATTTTTCTTTGCAGCACTATCTGAAGCAACAGTCTTCGTGGGAAGGCATCGTGAAATAATTATTTTCACTTTAAATATAATAAACAATTGACTCGTAAGCGCGCAAACACGTAGATCAAAAAACACCGAGTCATCTGAAGATGTGATTCCCCGAATCGGGAAATGGCGCCACGCATACCAACAGCGTGGTTCATTGCTCGTTCTCGAGTCAATGCTAGTATTTAGAGACAAATTTTTGGCTCATATTTTCCTCGTATCTCGAATTTCTCGTATATAGAGGTGCTCGGATCTCGAGGTTCCACTGTATTTAATCATATCTTCATATACTTAGAAAATCATACATATAATAAATTACTGTTTTGAAGTGAAAAGAATGCAATTTTTAATTTGATATTTTTTAATAATTTTCCTTTTTGATGCTTTTATCAAGGCAAATTCCTTAGCAGTTTTTTCAAAATCTACTTGATCACTTAAGTCCTGATCTATAGAGAAAACAACAGTATTTGAAAGTTTTTCACGACCACTTGAAGATATCGTATAATTTTTCATTATTTCAAGTTTGCTGAAGCTTCTTTTGTAACTAAAACACTAACTGGAAACGTTAAAAGTATTATCACAAACTTTGTAATAGAGAGATAATTTTAGTGTTTTTTTTTTTTGTTTTTTTGTTTTTTGTATAATGTAACATGAAAAGCTTGATTGACAGAAATGATGCTCTGCCGGAAAAACGAGAATAAGGGGCAAGTCTATTTAAGATTCAGTAAATAGTAATTTCTCTAATTTAGAGAGATTCGCCAAAAGTCGCCAAACTTGTAGAGCGCTTGGTGACATTTTCGTCCGGTTCCTAATTACTGTAATGGATATTGTAGTTGAATAACTGTAATTGATTCCTATATTAATTGCAACCATATCCGGCCGTTATATGAATTCCAGTAATTTTGGGAACCAGAAATTACTAGAGATTCCTCGGCGGCTGGAGAAAAATAATATAAGACCGGAGAGAGCATCAGTTTCTCAGTTGTTATTTCTGAGCGACTTCGGAGTATCGCCTTTTAGATGCGTTTTGCATTTTCTTGTGTTTAACGTTCCTAGTAGTTTAAAGTATAACTACTGATTGTGCTCTGTGATGCTGTGAAGAGCTGTGCGAGTATTTTTGTGGAAAGTTACAGAACTTTTTAATGTTTCTTTGGATAAAATAAACTTTATAAAACTATCGTTGGTTCTGTGTGCATTTAATCCATTATAAACCCGTACGCACGCATAAATTTTTGGAGTCAGAAGTGAGACTGAATACAGATGACAAAAGCGATGGAGGAGCAACTAAGGATGTTCGTGCTAGCATTTGCTGGATTCAAAGAAGAGATGAAAGCAGTTCAAGATTTCGTTAAAGTACAGACGAAAGCTGTTAAAGGAGACATAAAAGCGGACTAAGAAAAGATTGAAACAGGTAAATAAGAAATGAAAAGAGAAATTACTGCCATAATAGAAAACAAATTCGAGGCAATGCAAAGCAGAATAAACACGGTTGGAGACAAAGTTCCAGAAATTCAAGAAAGAGTTTCTGCTATCGAACAACAAATCGAAGAAAAACTTTATGCGGTTCAGCAACAAATTGAACAACAAATTTATGGCAAGATGTCTCCTGTTGTCTCCAAGGAAGTTGAAAGTTAAAAGAAATCCATAACGACAGTTGGTCATAATTCTAACGCCTTTATATACGAAGTCATCCTGGCTCTTTCTAAAGCTATCCACATGTAATGAGAAGACTTCGTGGCAAATGTATAAGACGCAGTTCTCCATACTGGCAAACGCAAATGGATGGGATTGCGAAGTTAAAGGCCTGCCATCGCTCGGCTTCTTTGAGAAGAAGCAGCAGATATCCACGAATCTCTGCCCGAAAAGCAGAGGCTAGACTTCGAAGCTCTATTCGGAGCGCTGAAACTGCGCTTTGGCGAGAAGTATTTAAAAGACTATAGCACGCTTCAGTTAAGATCTCGCCAAGAGAAGCCCACAAAAGCACTCCAGGAGCTCTCCGCCGATGTTGAAAGGCTGTCTCATCTCGCTTTTTTGGACTGTACAAGAGAAATATAGGAAATTCTGTTCCTGCAGTACAGAAAGCCCTGCAAAGGAGAATCTCAAGGATATAAAAAGAGCTCTGAAAACTCAAGGCAGCCCAGCAAGCAATTCATAGAGTCTGACCACCAATCACAGCTTCTCAAGTCGAGAAGTCATTGTATCAAGTAACTGCTCGTCTAGATGATTTAAACAGACATGTTTGAGACGGAATAGGAGTGACAAGAAAATCCTAAAGTGCTGGAACTGCCATAGTGACGACCAGATATGAAGAAAATGTAGAATACCCCGAAGCGTGGAAAATAAGGTCGCTCCCCAACAGAGCCGAAGGAAACAAATTAGTGGCCATTTCGCAGGGCGGTGGTTGCCAGAAAATGAGAAACCCGATTTTAAAGCGCTTACGATTGCTGCAATGAATGAGGGCTGTAATGGACTCGCCATCATGGGACATATCAATGGAATTCCTTGCAATATGACCATTGGTACAGGGGCCAATGCCACCATCATTCGAAAAGATTTGACTCAACAATTTGAAGGTAAACTCATCTGAACGGCGTCCTGCGTTACCCTCTGAACTGTCTGGGGATCGAATCGAGATCGATATAAAATTACATGTAAACATCACGTTTGGAAATGCCCGACTAATATTATATGCTTAAGGAAAGAAATGCCTTCAAGAAGAAATTTCTAAGGTAAATTGCCTCTTATTTACGTGTAACATGGGGAAAAAAATATCAATCGTAAAAACAGAGAAAACCGTGAAATAATTTCCCTTGTACCCAGGTTTGTTACATCTTGAACTACTTGTACGATTTTAAACTATTTCGATTGCATAAACAGAAACTTACCTCCAAACATCTTGTGCTTGATGCCACTTCTCCATGGTGTTCCTAGAACCATCATATAGCATCGGAAACTGAGGTCAGTGTGGTTGATCCATTCTTGGATAGTGAACCTCCTGTTGAAGCTTACTTCATATGTTTTGTTAAACAGGAGATTGACACTGTCAAAAGGGACGCTGTTCAGGTACTTGCCTACGATACAAGTAATACATAATTTAAATTTTAGCTCAGTAATACCTTTATTTACAGATAAAATCCAATATAACAACTATTTAGCCTAATTTCAAAACTCAACGGATAAGAATGAAAACCGGAATTAATAAATTTTGCGAACTCAGTAGCATGGAGTTTATTTTTTAAACCAATATATTCTATTATTATTATCTATTTACGTCAATGTGAAACAAATATCTTAAGTTTTACTAACAACAATAAAAAAGTTTAATTTAAAAATTGTGCTACTTTCCTTTCGATTCGCGCCAAGCACGCGTAAAAAGCATTTAAATGTTAGCGAAGGTTAAATACACCTCATGCTTTTTCGCGTTTTCATTGTCCGTATGCTACACATTTTCTACGGCAAAAAAGGATTTATCAGACATGCGGTATCACACCTACACATAACAAACTACGTGCTATGCTTCATGATGTGAATTCTTAAATACTGCATATTTTTCAATCTAGCGTGTTGCCTTGATCGGACGCCTACAGGTCGAAACTGACGCTACTCTAGCAGTTGGGAACACTCATCTTCCCCACTACCAACCGAGATTTTCTCCTGGTGCTACAGATGGCACGAAGGCGAAGAGCTGTATTTCGGCTCTTCCCTTTTTTTTTTTCTTTTTTCTTCATCCAAGATCAAGACAAGGGACACTTTTCATGTACCATTCCTTCTCAGGCTTCGCAAGGAACTCTGTAATTGTTATGAGTACTATCATACTATCTAGGCAGTACAGCCCAGAATAACATTGGTATATTTTTATATTACGTGATTTAAATGCAGTGCTTCGCGGATTATCTTCTCAAATATTGCTTAATTATTAAATACTAGAAAAAATTCAAAGTTAAATCTTAATATAACATAAATTGTATTACTCTCTACTTGTTAATGTTTCAAAACTAAATAGCAACTAAAGGCGATATCTTCTCGTGAATCTCTGCAACGACCGGTTTCCCTCATGCTAAGATTATGTGACTATAATAATATATCATAAATTCAGATTTGCAACACTCTCCCAAGTAACTGTCAAGTACTGACCGCGTTCGATGCTGTTTAAATTAACAATAGCTCGTGGTTCAAAAGCAAAGGTAACTTTCGTAATATCTTCCGAGCTCAGTACACGCCTCGGTAGTTGTTTCAAAGCTTTGCAGCCGCCTTCTACAAGCCAGGCGGTAGAATTACAGTACAAGCTCTAAACAGTTAAGAGTTCAGATTATTCTTACGTTTAAACTATAACACTTGCCATTCAGTATACATAAACCTGTATTTTGAAGAGAATCGTGACGAGTTACAAACATAAACTTAGGTACGGGAAATTTATTATTTCAATTCTGGATCGAAATCGTGGTTTTCTATCGACTCTGCTACGAAAACAGCAAGACTAATACTAAGGATCCATCCTGCATTATTACAATGCCTATGAACATCTAGAATGCAACGTGTATGCATTGCTAAGACATTATTAAACAGTACATACTGAAACGCAGTACGGAAGCTGAAATAAATATTGTTACGTTTCTTACGAGTTCGGTGGATTTGGAGTGATTGACGACAACACTTGATGAAGTATCGCAACACAATTTATTTGCCAGTATTACTCAGGACATCTCCCAAAAACACGTTTACAGTCGTCAAAAAACTATGACAGGCACGCTGAAACAATCAGCAACACAGCCTTTAGGCTATTAGGCTATAATGGTGAAAACAGCTTCACGGCAAAGTACTAGATCCGACTCGGTTCTGTCGTTCTCGAAACTCAACGTATTCTCCACGCTATAACCCGCGATGCACTCGATAGCCTCAACGATGTACACTGTCGATGCACCAACTCTAGATACACTGACAAGACACTCTTGCGATGCACTAACTCGCGATACACTCGACGACCAACTCGACACTAAACTACGAGACACACTAGACTGAGGATCAACTCGATAAACTACGAGACACTCGATAGACTCGCGATCGACTGCTACTTCGCGTAAAGGCAGGGTTTATATAGCTTTTGGGGTGCTTTCGATAATATTCGGGGCCAAACCGATAAGGATTCGTTCTAGAAGGTTTTCCATTCGTCTATGTCATATCGCCAGTTTTGCCGCCAAATATCACCAAATGGGAAATTTCGCGCCAAATTTGACAACCCTGCCTTCTTTTGCCATTTTCTGGCAACCCTAAAACTGCTTTGCGGGGAAGCTGTCTGACCGCGCCTGGACATTTCGTAACAATATTGACATAGTTATAATTTCGAAACTTGTTATGTATTAGAATTACCTATTAAAATATTATCAGTGTAAATTACATTTTAATACTGTATTACTAATGAAATCAGATTACCTTTAGAATACGCTAATTGGTTGCTATTTAATTATTGCAAATTATTTTAAAGCTGTTTTACTTGGAAAGCGGAGCTTTAAAAAAAAAAAAATCTGAAATGTTTCAGATTTTAAATTACGTCCAAAGGGGCGTTTTTTAACATTTTGTGTGTTACCTTTCTTTATTAAATATCATGTTCCTCGCACTTAAACCATAAGATCCAGTGCAACAGCAATATCGCAAAATAGTTTTAAAACGAGCATATCTTTAGAATTTCCGATACAGAGACTCACGCGCTGGCTGGAGATAAAAATGTTTTTTCTGCACAACGTTGCCATTGCTCGCTTTGAAATCCTTGAGTTTGTTAATCAAAAATTCGTCAAAGTTTTAAAAAATAGGAAATCGATCATAAAACAAATTTCAAATTTCAAATTTGGTCTTCCACATGCTCATATTCGTTGGAGGATTACGTTATTCAAAATTCGATGACTCTATGTACCGTTATTTTATGACAATGTGAGAAATATACATACATTTACGCAGATTTTCATTATTTAATTTCTTCAAATATAATGCAGGACTCTAACATTTTATGGCAACAGTTTGAAAAGTGAACCGACATTTATCCGTCCGACGCAAAATGCCAAAACGAAACTAATAGTCCTTCGGGATTCAAATCCCTTTGGACTAAAAAAAAAAAAAAAAAAAAAAAAAACTTTGTTAAGGGTAACTTGCTTGTTTGCGCAGATAGGTGTATACTTATATTTTGAGGCAAAACAAGCAAAGACTGTCTTTATTAGAAGCTAATGCGTTCCAAGAAGACTTTGCAAGTGAAAAATGATTATTGGAGAAGTCGAAAAACAAGAATCAGCGTTATAGTTTTAAATTTTGCAGGACTAGTTTCGATGGTCTAATTGCAGAACCATCTTCTTCAGCTGCCATTTGCACTTTGGCTTTGCTGCGCCAAACCAAACCCTCATCGCATTACAAATATTCGCTTATTATGCGCATTTTTAACCATTGATCATTGAGTGAAGAGAAATATCGACAATTAATGATTGTTCATGCGATGCGTGCGTTGTTATACAACAATTTCAAATTAACTAGAAGTGGACTGTACTAAATATTTTATTCGATAACTTTAATCAAATGCGTGCCATCTTTCAAGCGATGACTTACTACTAATAACAACAGCAATAAAAAAAAAACTGAGTAAGCGTTTACAGGGTTGCTGTAATGAACATCTGCGCCATGTAAGGCGCCAAGAAGAGAAAAAATGACGTAATCTTACAGTTAAATAGTCTTAATGACTTAACAATGATCAAATTTCAAAACGATAAAAACATAATTCATATATCATAGGATTATACTTTTTAATATAGCGATTCTCTAAAATAATTATTTATGCTAATTATTTTCCACAATAATAACAATAAATGAAATTTTCTTTTTTGTCTTCAAAGAAAAATACTTCAAATTTTGTTCAAAAGTGTTCAAGATTAGGGCAGTAATGTTGTGGCAGTAGAATATTTTTCTATTATTTTCATGAATGTCATCCATGAATGTCAAATTAAATTCTTGAATCTCAGATATTTCCTTATTGCCTTTTTATCTCTGTTATAACTAATTGTTAGATTAACTTTATAGTTAAACAATTTTTATGCTAAATTTCATTGGAATGTCCGCAAAACTACACTGCAATGCAATCTATTTCCAAAATCAAAATTACAAGATTAAATTCGCCTAAGTTTAACTGCGCTTTTGGAATAGCTTCCATGAATCACCGCTTCCATGAATCACATAAAATCTCCCTTCAGTCCCTGATAATGCTAAACGATCTCTCTCTTTTTTTTTTTTTTTTTTTTTTTTTTCCAAATACACTCAGCCGGAAAAAAATCTGAGTGTGCCCTAATTTACAAAAACACTGCTGAATAATTAAATAATAATTTTTATCTAAAATAACAATGCTGAATACATTTCTAGAAATTGTTTGCTATGTAGATGTAAATTTAAATTAAAAAAGTTTGATGTAATTTTTATTTAGTTACCCATGAGTTATTTATTTCATTTCTAATAAATAACCCCTCCCTCGAAAGGTATTTTGGCTTATTTGATTATTGCAAAGCACGCGAGGGCTATCCGCCTAAGGGAAGGGATATTTTCATGAAAGACTTTCGAAGGAAAACTGGCTCGTATCCACATTACACATGAGAAAAAAATGGAAACGCCCATGTAACCAGGTCGTTTACCTCCAACGAAATGTTCATGTAATATATACATTATTAGTGTAAATCTCTAGCGGAGAACGTTTCGTATATTTTCCTACTTACCTCGCTAATTCTCTCCGAACTAAGTCCTTTTCTTCAAGCGATAAAATTACTGTCCTAATCAGGATCCATTTAAATTTCTCACAGAAAACGCGAGAAACTCTAGTCATGTAAATAAAATACATAATTGAAATAAGGTTATTAAAGTCGCCGAATGATGGTAGACTGATTAGGGTTTGAGCCGAGGAGAATAATTAGGCTGCATGGTTGGTTTTTATGGTTTTCCTCATATGTAACGTGAATACGAACTTCTTTCAGTTAGAAATTTTTCCACGAAGGCATCTCTCCCCTTAGATAGATAGCCCTCGTGTGCTTTGTCATAATCAAATAACTAAACATAATGCGAAGTTATTTCTAAATTAAGTACTAAAACTAACTCATTCAGTAGTATTCATGATTGCACTTTCAGAACAATAGTGCTTCTTTCGTTCATGATTTCAAAAGTTAAGAACTGGAATACACGAACGCAGAAAAATGGCTTAAACATTATTATTTACTTTTTTTTTCTTTGTTTCTCTTCGTTTCTTTTTTTTTTTTTTTTTTTTTTTTTTTTTTTTTTGAGAGAGAGAGAGAGAGAGCAAAACGTTGAAAGAGATGTTGAGTTTTCTTTCTCGAAAGACAGTAATAACATATAATCACTATGCATGCGATACAGTGCTGCATTTTGAAGCCCAGCTCCACTTTTTGATCAAGATGTCTTTCTTAAGATATGACAGGTCACCAGAAGGAAGAACTGGATTTTCAAATCTTTCTCCCCCCTTCATATGTAGAAAGAAATAATAATTGGCGTATGGAAAATTCTTCAAGCATATAGTTTTTCACGCTTCACGGCTTAAAAAGCCAGAAAGATGGATAACATAACTTTGCTTTTATAAAAGCATAAAAATACAAATAAAATACAAAAAATGTAAAACATATCTGAAATAAGGTTGTAATATTGCTTTACATAGTTATATCGGATATATTTAACAAAAGATGAGTTATTTAAATAACTGCTCATTCTTTCTTAAAAGCATTTAAAGCCTGGTTAATTACACTAATTAACTAATTAAAATTTTTGTCATCACCCAGATGATTAAGTGGTTAAGGAAGCCTACTGCGGTACCGAAAGGGTTTGGTTTGAACCCCGGAGAAGGCATGGATGTTTCTAAATGTATAGTGTCTTTGTGTTATTGGGGCTTTCTAAATACACTCATGTCCATAAATTAAGGATAATGCAAAATCAGGCAAAGGAAGAGTTAAGCAAACCAAATTTGACTTATTTGTAAAGCTTATTTATTAAACAAAAGGTAAAGAGCAAAAAAAGATGCTATATGATTGATATTGTTAAAAAAATTACCGATTTTTTCCCCTGGAACAAATTACAAAAAAAAAAACCTATTTACAAAAAACCAATATTACATGGTTGGTATGTTTGTTAATACATTGTATGTCTCCCAGACGATGTAATACAGTGCGTTCAACGTCTAGGCATGCTGAGTATCAAATTATCGATCTGATCTTGGGGGATATTACACCACTCAAAAAGCAATGCTCTCCGAAGTTCCGGTAGACATGTAGGAGGAGGTTGACGGGCTGAAACTCGTCGGCCAAGCATGTTCCACACGTGCTATACTGGATTCAAGTCCAGTGAGAATGCTGGCTAGTCCGTACGGGTGATATCCTCCGATTGAAGGCATTCGCTTACGATGTTTGCATGGTGAGGACGGGCGTTGTCATCCATAAACACAAATTATGCGCCCATGGCGCCCCGAAACGAACGTACATATTACTCCAGAATGACGTCCCGATAGATTTGGCTTGTCATGGTTCCAATTTGAACATGCAGGTCAGTTCTGGAACCCAGAATAATTCCACCCCAAACGAGCTCTCTTGCACCACCGTAAGGGTGTCGTTCAATGATGTATTCTTCGTGGTAACGGCTACCTGGAGCTCTCCATATGAAAGTCCGGCGAGAATCAGACTGCAAGCTAAACCTGGACTCGTCGGAAACTATCACACAAGCCCATTCTTGCGGTGTCCACAATGCATGCTCTCTACTCCAGGCTAACCGCAGGCGACAGTGAGTTGCAGTAAGGGGAACGCATCTGACAGGTCTACGAGCATATAGACCAATCTGCCCTAAACGTCTGTACACGGTCTGCCTTGAAATTGTCGTACCAGTGGCTGAAGAGAGCTGACGAGACAGGTCTGAGGCTGTGCTCCGCCTGTTTCCTTTGGCAGTAACTGCCAAATACCGGTCCTCATTTGGCGTTGTAACTCTGGGGCGACCTGTGCTGTAACGTCTACTCACATTACCATCATCTTGGAATCGTTGCCAAAGCCTGGAGATGACACTCTGGGCAATTCCAAGTTCGTCTGATACTTCCAGTTGGGTACGCCCACATTCCAGACGGCCGATAATTCTACCACGTAAAAAATCACCCAAATGCGTCCTTTGTGTCATAAATATTCGGTTATTGAACAGAAATGCTTATAAATCGCCTGCGAACAATTTTACTTCTTTGCCTGTATTCCTTATATATCACTCTCTTACACCCTCGTCATTGTGACGTACCATCGGTGTCATCTGGTTACTTCCTGAAATTTGCATATGATTCTTGAAGATGTGTGCAGTGATTTTACAGGTGATTTATTTATTTGAGAGTTCGATTTGCGCGTGACTCCGAATTATCCTTAATTTATGGACATGAGTGGTGTATATGGAAAGCTAGATTGGCGTAGGGAAGAGGGGGGAGACCCTAGTGCCCCAACCTCCCCGGGGTACTCTGCTTCAAAACTGAGGTGGCAATAGAAGTCCAATATCCTTGAGGCTCTGGCAACCATTCTTCCATGAAATTCATTTACAAAATCACAAAGTTGTTGTCTACCATGGGGATAAAAGCAGATTCACATTATGTCCACGTGAATTGCATTATCTTGACTTGCTATAAATATTTCTTATGATGGATTTTTTAATTTGTGTTTTTAACTTGCCTACACGTATTCACGTGAAACCAAGCTGATAAATAGGTAGTCCCATTTTAAGAGGCAGCAGAACCCCCAAAAATAAACGTTTTGTTTCTTTGATTATGTCATAATAACTTAAAGGCAAAAGTGAATGCTATGCGAGTATTTCAGAATAGTGGGAGAAGAGCAATCTGACCAGTCTTTCCGACGTGTGTAAAACTTTTCACATTTATTAAGGGTAGAAAGTAAACTGATAGTTTCTGAACGGAATTAAAATTTGTAGCTAAATCGCTTTTATAGTGATGGGAGGGGCGAAATCCCAGAAAATTAGTTTTAGTTGGAGAATTTCGTTTTTTTTTGGGGGGGGAGGGAGAATTATAGTATCTCACAGTCGAATGATTTATAGCTTTTCGGAAAATGATTTTCATGTGAAATAAAGCAAGGTACGACTCATTACAGTAGGATGACTTTCACCGGAGATGCACGCAATTATACAGTGCGTCTACAAAGTTTTAGCACTGATGCTCTCAACGCTATAATATCGAAAACTGTTTTCCCAAAACATCGTCCTCCTTTCGAACATAATTTTCTATACAGTTAATCATTTGCTTTGATCCTGTCAACATCTGACTGATATCATTAATTCAAAAGCTGAACAGAGAGTAGCCATACAATTTTGCTGTAAAGCCGTAAAAACAGCCTCGGAGACATTTAAAATATCGTGTAAAGTGATATTTTAAATGTTTCCGTAGTTGTTAAAATTATTTTAAATGACTAAGCATTAATACGTTTTCAATAATATGAACGATTTCAAGATGGGCGGTAAGATGTCTGCAATATTTCATTGAGAAAGCATTACCTTTGAATGCTGTCTTATGAGTCTAACATCCCTTAAGATATTTCTCACAAAGACGTGGTGGAAGATCTTCATAAAACAATTATTTATTTCTTGTTTTGTTCTTCACGCATTGAATGCAGACAGAGAGAAGATCAAATTTGTGGGTGGATATATTTAGATCGCATACAGAATTTCGATCACAGGCTGATTCTGCATTCAAAATTCTAGATGGAAGAAATTTTAAATGCAAAAAAACTCCTTTTGTGCATTTCAAATAGCAGGCATTAATTCTGATTTTTTTTCAAATTTTAACTGTAAATGAAGCTTGGTGCGTATGATCCTAAGAAAAAACGGCAAATGTCTGTTTGGGTAGTAGAAGGTTCACTTCAGCAACTAATACCTTCGGGCTTAAAATTCTCAAATACAGATCATGTTGATGACATTTCTGACGAGAAAGGGACAATTTACAATATTTTCTAAAGATATAACGGATAAGACTTATGAAGAAATCATCGCCGTTAGGTAAGATAACGCTCAATAGAAAACTTGCTTGGTTTCTGCGACATGATAATTCAAAGTCACATAATTCCATTTCCATCAGCAGTTTGCAACAAGAAAAAATACCACAGTTCTTCTCCCCACACACACTTTATGCACTAGATTTTAATTTTTCTCGTCCTAAAGAATTCTTGTTATTTCGAAAATAAAGTCTCACTTCAAAAATTATTATTTCTATAGCATGGATGAGATTCAGAATACTGTATTTAGACACTAAATCCTTCAAATAATAAGTTCTACTAAAGGTGCTGCATGAACGGACAGAGCTTTTTAAAGAATTACAAGAATTTGATACTGAAGACTAAGAAATAATAATCTTGTTTTCTTCGCGACTCTGGGTGTTGTACGAACTAAAATTTTACAGACTTTATTACATATTTTACTGTGTATGCTATGTATGCGCACTGCATAAGAGATGGTATTTTGATAGAAAGACACATACCTGTGCGTTCTGAATATACCCCGCAGGCCGGACTAGGTTTAGGGAATATACCTATGCAATGCATGTTGACTGATTCCGTACATTCTATCATGTCTGTGTGTGTCTTCCATGCACTTTCGTCGCAGGCATCTGCAAGGAAAAGTGAGTCATACATAACACTTCTTTGTACATGTTTTATTATTAGCCCTGTAGTATATTCTATTCCTTTATAATATCTTCAAATTTTTATTTCGTTATCTGATTTTCGGTTACCATCCAAGCTGAGGCGAAGTTTGTTAGCCTCGAGTTGGCGCATTGTAAATTTTAAAGAGTTAATAAAAGGTACTTAACCCTTCGTTGGTAAAAGCTGTATAGTCTGGTTTCAAGCTTCGCACGATCTTTAACTATCGGGAACGCTTTTAGGAGTGAAGCTTTGAAATTCTCGAATGTATAGGTGAGCGTTCCCGCTTCGCCAAATAAAAAAAGAATTTCCCAATTCCTTTTCCACCAAGACTCTGCCTGTCCTCGGAGGACAATCGATGCAATAGCTACCTTCTGCTTTTCCGTTATCGGATATACGTAGGTTGTTTTTTTTTTCAACCTCCGATCGCACAGTATGATGGCCAGGTATGCAAAAGGTGTTTGGTGTGCGTAGTAGGCGATTGCGCATCTTCCCCTCCACACGCTCTGTCACTGGCGTATTCAACATGCCATTTTCTGTTGAGTTGCAGTCACGTAAACATGACTGTCGCTATTGATTCTCCCGCCAAGTGTGAAATTTCGAGCGCTTATTCGTTTCTTGCAGGCAGAAGGGAACAGCGCAGCGGAAATTCATCGAAGAATGAGTCGAGTGTATAGAAACAGCTTTATAAGTGATGGCGTTGTTCGTGAATGGTGTCGAAATTTTAAAGATGTCCGAACTGATGTGCATGATGAAGGGGGTCAAGGACGCAAGTCTGTCGCTACAGACGACATTGTTCAATGAGTTGACCAAGCGGTTAAGCAAAATCGAAGGTTTACCATAAGTTAATTATCGATGAAATTTCCCGAAGTTTCAAGGTCTTCCCTGTACTCTATCTTTACTGAACAGTTGCGCTACAGAAAAGTTTGCACTCGCTGGGTCCCACAGATGTTGACTGACGACCACAAAACTCGCCGAATGGTTGCAGCGTTTGAGTTTCTTGACCGTTACAATTCTGAAGGAGAAGAGTTTTTGAAATCCATTGTGACAGGCGATGAGACATGGGTTCAATATGACACGACCGAAACGAAACGACAATCACAACTATGGATGCACACAAATTCTCCAAAGAGACCCACAAAATTCAAATGAACCTTTAACAACCGTAAGGTTATGGCAACTGTTTTTTGGGACTAAAAAGGTATGTTGCTTATGGAGTTTATGCCAATGATGCCTGGAACAACAATTAATGCAGATTCATATTGTGAAACTTTGCGACGCTTACGGAGAGTTATTCAAAACAAACGAAGAGGCATGCTGACTTCTGGAATTGTTCTGATCCACGACAATGCCCGTCCTCACAGCGCTCGTGTAATCCAACGGCTCCTTCAATAATTTCAATGGGACATTTTCGAACATCCACCATATAGTCCCGGCTTAGCGCCGAGTGACTTTCAACTATTCCCTGAACTGAAACAATAGGTTGACGGGAAGCGCTTCCCAAAATGACGTGGAGCTGAAACCGTCACAACTCACTTCCAATCATTGGCGGGAACATTTTATCAAGAGGGTATTGCAAACCTTGTTCACAGATATGACAAATGCCTCAATCGTCAAAGTGATTATGTAGAGAAATAACCTGTATTGTACATTACTTTTGGTAATAAAATCTTTTTTGTATATTCACCCGTCTTTTCTTTATAGCCCATCGGAGGTTGAGAAAAAAGAAATAGCCCTCGTACAATTGGAAGTGAGTATCAAGGGCTTCCAGAAATGGGGTAACGGAGTTCTTGCCGTCGAATACCACCGCTGATTTAATTGCATCCCTCATTGTCTGTATCAGGAAGACAAATCCATCCAGGGGGGTCACCATTGGGTCTACTACTCCTGAGCCTTGTGGAGATACTTGTTCGTTGTCCATCGGATTCGCGTAGTAATTTGGGCGCCAATGTAAAGTTCAGTAGATATACAGTGGATGGACAAAAATATAGAAACACCTTGTGAAATGCATGTTTGAAAAGAAAGCTTGATTTTAATGAAATATGTAGGTGGCGCTGGCGTTTTTGACTACTGACGCCACCTACACAACTTCGTAAATGAGCTAAACAGTTCAGTTGTTGTCGGAGTACTGTTATGTGAGGTTGTCATTGCATTATGTCAGAGTTAACAGACTTCGAACGTGGGCAAATTGTTGGAGCACGTATGGTAGATGCTTCCGTAAGCAAGGTAGCCGAGATGTTTAGTGTTTCAAGAGGTACTGTATCGAAGATTTATTCCGCATATTTGAAAAGCGGAAAAACATCATCTGCTAAATCACAGCGCGGACGAAAGTGTGTTCTGAGTGATCGTGACAGACGATCATTAAGGGCAATTGTGACGAAAAATAAGACCACAGCTGCAAAAGTTACTGCTGAAATGAATGTTGTGTTACCGAACCCTGTGAGTACCAAAACAATTAGAAGGGAACTTCATAAACAGGGAATTGCTGGCCGTGCTGCAATGGAGAAGCCACTCATTGGTGATGCTAATGCCCGTAACAGGAAAAGGTGGTGTTTAAGTCATAAAGGCCTGGACTATAGAGCAGTGGAAGCGAGTAATATGGTCTGACGAGTCTTCTTTCACATTGTTTCCCACTTCTGGCCGAGTTTACGCCTGGAGAACGCCATCTCAAGCCTATAATACAGACTGCTTGTTGCCAAGAGTGAAACATGGCGGGGGTTCTGTTATGGTTTGGGCAGCCATATCGTGGTTCTCTGCTAGCCCCATGATAACTGTGTCGGGGCACATGACTGCCAAGACTTATGTGAACATTTTGGCCGATCAAGTTCATCCCATGGTACAAACTTTGTTCCCCGATGGTGATGGTTCTTCCAAGACGACAAAGCCCCTGTTCACACAGCTCACATTGTCCAGGACTGGTTTTCTGAGCACGAGGATGAGTTGTCCCATCTCCCCTGGCCACCACAGTCACCAGACCTGAATATTATCGAACCTTTGTGGTTTACATTGGAACGGAAAGTGCGTTCTCGTTATCGCCAACATCGTTATCTGAACTTGCCACCGTTTTGCAGGAAGAATGGTATAATATTCCCTTGGCAAACATACAGGAACTGTATTTATCCATTCCGAGAAGACTGCAAGCTGTTTTGGATGCCAACAGATTTCCTACACCATATTAAGCAAAGAAACATGTTTTTTTAAAGGTGTTTCCATATTTTTGTCCAACCCCTGTACTACTTCTGTGTGAAGAACTGGTGTAGTAATAACTGCACCAAGCGAAGTACCCTTTATTAACTCTTTAAAATTTACAATACGCCAACTCGACGCTAACAAACTGCGTCTCTGCTTGGGTGGTAACTGAAAATCAGATAACGAAACTAAACATTTGAAGATATTAACAAGTGATAGAACTACAGGGCTCAGAAAGATCCCGTTACTTAAACCTCCTTCGAAACTATTGGCAGCAAATAAATGCAACTAAGCCACGTGAACCAGCAGTAAGCAAACGTATCTACAGCAGAGTGGCCGCTGTAGCACAACTTATTTTTTTTATACTGAAACTCGACTTTTAAATACTTTCTTCAAAGTAGAAATTTGCATTCCTTCACGCGCGCTATGAAATTTAAATATTTTAGCACTGACAATTAAGGGAATAAAGGCTTATAGGAAAGTTTAAAATTAAACTTTAACTTGTTAGTTAAAATAAATATAAATCCCTACAACCTTTATGAATTATAGCACAGCTGCAAATATTCATAAAATTATCAATTTCATATATTCTAAGTTAAATGAACTGGAATTTTAATTAAATAAATTATCAAAGAAGTAAAATAAAACATTTTGACTATTAGGAACTTCGTTTATTTAGAAATACTCAATTTATTAATCATTAAGAGGCATTAAATTTGAAAGATAAAGTAATGATTTTATGTTTTCTCTATGACAAAACAATGAGAACCCTGCTTCGTAGGAAGGCCGAGTGGAAAATAAAGATATTTAAAATCATATAAAGGGTTATGAATTACTTTTAAATCACTCAGTTTTTTATCAAAAACACAGACTGTTTACATGTGAAAGATTATTTAAAGACCATTCAACTTTCAAAAATAGGGGGGGATTATTTAGTTAAAAGACAGAATAAATTATTTTTATAATTTTAACGGCATCTGTTTAAGTTCTTATTTCTTAAAATCCTAGGACAAAACATTAAAAGAGTAACACTTCGTAACACTGATAAAATTTCGATAAGCTTAAATAATTAAAATATTATACGTGCCAGATGTAATTCTAAAGGATACATTTAATATTACTTCTCAAATGCAAAAAAGTAGTTAAAATATTACTTCTAAAGAAATATCCATATGTTCTGATAAGTACCAAGAAGGACAAGCAAAGTGGTTCCAGAAGAAACTGCCATGTAATCATTCTGAAATCGATTAAATCATGGTCTCGAAATTAAGTCAAAGAACATATTTTAGAATGGTTCCCGACCAAATATTCTTGAGAGTTAAGAAAGGGTGACTCACTGATATCACTTACAACAAAGACATACTACACAGAAAGTGTATTTTTGACGCCACTGGAAAGCAGTTGGTCCATTTTAGCTTCCAGTTGAGAAAGAAAAGGCTAGTTTCGAAAAGGAGATTCATAGGTAGATACCAAATAAGCGGTATTCACATAAATATTAAGTGGAAATCATCACAGATTTTCGTGATATATAATGTCCTCTGCAAGCTGGAAATCTCGAATCCCAGAATTTTAAATATTTAAAATTTTCCCTTTAAAACTGAGCAATATTTTTATATTCATTATCGAATGGCTTTGTATGAATGCTTTTATTTTACTTAAGAATTACTATGCAACAGAATAAATAATATGACAGAAAATTCAACATTTATTAAAACCGTAATTATTGACGAAACCTTAATAGTAATAATAATAATTCTAATTATTAATTAGTAATACGAACTGTTAAAGATATTTTCATTAGCTTAAAAGCAGATAAAACAGTGTCGAATAAATCCAAGTAATTTTCTGATTTATTCACCTTTCATTATATTATACACAATACATACATATTGGTTTGGCAACTAAGTTCCCGCCGTTTTTTTAAATTCAAAAAATCTGTATGACATTAAATACTTTTGGCACGAAATTGTACATCACTCGAAAGAGAATATATTATTCTACCAAATCTATGTTTCGTTGTTACTAAGATACATTTTCTTGTTATTTACAGATCATTAACACGGAATGTCAAGTTGAGAAGAATAAGCATTTTCGACACCTCCTTCTTTTTGCCTTTAATAAAGGTTCTAAGGCCGCAGAAGCTGCTCGCATCATTTGTGATGTGTATGAGTGGGTGCTATAGCTGAAAAAATTGCCCGTGATTGGTATGCAAAGTTCAAAAAAGGAAATTTTAACCTCAAAGACGCACCTCATTCAGTTGAGTTCGATGAAGAGCTATTGAACCACCTTTTGCATGAAACTCCGCGTCAAACAACAAGGTAACTGGCAGAGACAATAAAATGCTCCCACACTACTGTAAAGAAGCATCTTCACTTGATGGGTAAAAGTTCAGAAATGTGGAGCATGGGTGCATCACACTTTAAGAGTCACCAAGAAAAATCAACGAGCTACAATCTCCGCTGGTTTGCTTGCTCGTCACCGTGCAACCCATGGACAGAAGGAACGATTTCTTCACCGAATCGTTACTGGCAATGAAAAATGGTGTTCTACATGAATGTGAAGCAGCGTAAAGAATGGCTTAGCCCCGGTAAACAGGACGTTCATCAGCGTAAAACGATGTTGTGCGTATGGTGGGACTGGAAAAGGATTCTCCAATTCGAATTGCTTGAAAGGAACCAAACGATCAATGTAGCACTCTATGTCTAACAAATGGAACGATTCAACTCGACTATTTAAGAGAAAAGACCTAATCAAAAAAACCGTGCAGCAAAAGAACACCATGGCAGCATGGTGTTCTTTTGCTGCACACGACAACTCCCCCACTCATATCGACAATATGACCAAGGAAGCCATTCAAACTCATGGTTGGGAAGTGCTGTCACACCCACCATACTCTCTTGATTTGGCACCAGTGGATTTTCACCTCTTTCGATCTCTTGAAAATGCTATGCGAAGAGTTTCTTTCAATACTGATGCAGAAATTAGAGCTTGGTTGGATAACTTTTTCGAGTCTCAAACAGATGATTTCCACTAACGAGGTATTGAAAAATTGTTAAACGTTGGGAAAGCGTTGTATAAAACAAAGGAGAATACATTCTTTATTAACTACTTGTATATGTTTATTGAAAAATAACCTTTTAACAAACATTATTAAAAACGGCGGAAACCTAGTTGCCGACCCAATATATACACAATATCATACACGCATATATGAACATATAAGATCATATGTACTCGTATACAGAAATAAAATACCCATTTCAGAGATATGCCGTTATAGTTAACAACAATCATGCAACTCTAATAGTTCGAAATGAAAGGCAGTTTTCTCACCTACGATAATCATAAGATACATTTCGTTCTCTGCTGTCTTTCCGTTCGTCCTTACCCGGCACGTGTAGGTTCCTTGCATGCCCATACTCGCTTTTGTGATGACCAGCGTGCTTGGTGAGCGAACAGTTAAATCAACATTTCCCTTCAAGACATCTTTGGCTTCAGGGGGATTGTCCAACGTCCACAGATAGACTAGTGTACCATCCTTCTCCCATTCAACTTCCGTTACAGTTTCTGTGGGGTCAATGATGTAGTGGCAGGTGAGAGTTGCCGACTCCCCTTGGAGGACGTACGGCCGGATCTCCCCAGACGCCAGCCGAACTTCAGTCACTGCTATCGATAATGTTTCTATAAGATGAAAAAAGAGCGCTTTGAAGCTTTGTTCTTCCTAAGAAAGAAACGCAACAGAGATAACAAAGAACCAAAACGTTGAACGTACTAAGTATGGAGCTCCTATAGCGGGAAATTTACAATACTTTTATAGTACCTGACAAGGGAGATACCGATTTTAAAACGCCGTCGATTCTAAAACGCATTCATTAATTTCGGCGTCACCAATCGGGAAAACTGAATTAATGAGAAAATAAAATAATTGCAATATGGCACTAAAATGCACCTAAGAATATTTTTAGTTTTTCAGCTTCGATTTATTAACAGCAAGTATATTGACTTGAATATTCACTCGGAAAAATTAATTACTTCAAATAATTAATAATAGGGAAAATTTGTTGTTCTTGACTCTGTTACACCTCGATTTTAGAGATATTAATGTGGGAAAATAAATGACTGCTTTAGAATCGACGAAATTTGGTATTACGTTTAGTTTACCTTTTAGTTTTAATTATATACCATTTATAACAGTTTAAATAAAAGGGATACAGACTTCCTCAGGCTAATGAAAATCCCCATACTTCTTACGGCACGCTATTTAAACGTTACGAACGTTTAAATAGCGTGCCGTACAACATGTAAATAACTTACCTAAAGACTGGCACACCTGTGTTCAGTTGGTATCAAATGATAATTATTTTAGCTGTAAAAACTCTCAGAAAACACAAACAAAAAATATAACAAAGAATTCTACGAGTACTTATGGGAGAAGTTAAAAAAATTCAGAATTCTTAGTTTAATTGCGTCTTTTAATTTTACTAATTTCAAATATGAAACAAACCATTCGCATAATATACTTTTGCAAGATCATCAAAATAGCATTCTATAACTGAGAAATATGAAGCAATCAAATCTTTCTAAAACAATCTCCCAGCATTCCAGCCGATTTTGGTCTCTGAAATGAGTTTTTTGATTAATCTCTCTTTTTTCTATAACAATTTTAACTTTATAAGGAAATCAACTATATCATTATTTTCAAAATCACAATTTTTTTTTAAATTTATGCATATAATTTGGAGGATCATTAAAGGGAGCAATAAAAGACATTCTTTCTTCAGCAGAATTTCTACGATTTTTTTTAAAAATATTTAAAAAATATTTAAAAAGGTCTTCTTACTTTCCTTCCTCAGCATATATATTCATATAAATTTCTCAGCATATGTACTCATATATATTTCTTAGCATATATATATGTGTATATATATATATATATATATATATATATATATAATATCGGTATGATATCACAAAAATGAAACTCTTATCATTGCTTTGGTTTGCGTATCGATATTCACGAACAAATGTTTTTACTTTATGCATATAATTTAGACCCCCAAATTGGCTTGGATACCACAACTGGAGCGCTTATTGATGTCTTAAAAACCGAATTTCACCAATCCTCATGTGTACCGTATATAAGGATTAAACCCATTACAATTTTTATTTTATACATTTCTAAAATTTGGCGGCACACAAAAATGCCGAGCCACAGTGGCTGAGAATCACTGATTTAGAGGGTCATTTAAGGGAGGAACAAAAGATATTCTTTCTTCGGCAAAATTTTTTCTATTTTTTGAAGTAAGATCTATTTAAAAATGTCTTCTTACTTGTCTTCCTCAGCATATATATTCATATATATTTCTCAGCATATATATATATAACGGTACACATGTATATATATATATATATATATTGATAGATAGATAGATATCAGTACGATATCAAACAGATGAAACTCTTCATCGCTTTGATTTTCTTATCGATGTTTTAGTTAAATTTTGACTTAGCTCTTCGACTTCACCTTAAGTCCGGGAGAAAATTATAACGATGTCCCAACGTAAAATTTCCGTCACTTTTGTGCAAGTCTGTCGCTATTACGAAATCTTCAAACGTGAGCCTCAGCATAAAGGCTCCCAAACATTTACGGAGATAAGTTTAAAACTTCATAAAACTGAGGACACCTTAAGATTTAATCCCGTTGTGCAAGTTAGAGTTTGATACTCTGTTTTAAAAAGTAAATGAAAATTCTGAATATGCCCGCACATTTGTAAAAAAAGTCCTTTTTTAAGTTAGGAACTGACCCGCATAAGAATGTGGACATCTCTGTGCTCGAGTTTTAGAGCCATTAGGATTTCTTTTGGAAGCAGGAAAGATGAAAAATAGGAAACGCTTTCGCCGGGAATCGAACCGCAGACCTCTCAATTACGTGCTGAGCGTGCAGACCACTACACCACGAAGGCTCGCTAAGAAAGCGGGAGAAATACCTTATAGAGTAACCTTATGAAAGTTTCTGCATTTTTGAACAGTGACTGGCATAAAAAGTTTCAATATCCATATAATGGGGCAATATGATGAAATTCTTTTTTTGTCTTTTCAAACACTGGCTGATTTGCATAGAGGTGACTGCATCGTTATGAAGGCATCTCTTCCGTATAAACTAAATATAGGCATTTTATTTTCCTTTTCAGAAAGCTCGGGAAATGATACCCTTTTTTTAAAACGCTTATGTATCCATGCTTTTCCACAATTCTTTTCGCGTAATCAGTTACATCCACTAAAGAATTTATTTTATCTATTGTATCGATAAATAATGCTATCTGATTAGTCTTACTTAATACTGATATTGAAGATAAAGAAACCTTGATTATTGGGACATCGAAGAAATACTTATTTGGTAACTACGTTCATCAGGTAAAAACTGTAAATAAATATTATTTGATGATATTTTCAGGCGCGAAACATTACACAGAATTTACAGACTTTTTCTATATTAGTTTTTAGTTTTGAATAGATTTTTCATTTGATTCAAAGAAAACAGAACCCGCTTCTTAAGACTTTCTATTTGTTTAAATTCCACGTTGAGTTTAGAAGTATCGACATTTAAAATAATCGCAGTCATAAGGAGTTGTTTATTATTAATGGTGTTCTTTTCAAAAGCACTAACACACCGTTTTTTAACATTAAAAAAGAATCTTAGTCATAACGGATTGCTTGTTATAAACGGTGGTTCTTTTCTCCCCGAAGGTTTGACACATTACCGTTATCTCACATTTTCAATACCTTTCGCATTAGAACTGAATGTCAGTGATTATCTTCATAGTGACATAAAAAAACATACGTCGCATCAGCGCTGAAAATGCTATTGAAATTGTTCCGAATACCAGAAAATTTTCTATTAACAACTGCAACTTTTACCTATAATTTGCCAAAATATTCTTGCTGAAGAATTCAGTTTCAAAGCACAGACTTTGGAAATAATATTGTTTCATCGATAGATTTTTTTTATTCTAATATTTCTTGCTTTTGATTTCTTACTTTCGATTTGTATGTGCATAATTTTTACCTTTGTCTTGAAAAATTTCAGTACCGATTGTAAGTTTTCGTTTAAGAATTCTTTCAAGGTTAAAACAGAGTTAAATGGCTTGATTTGACGATAATGATAATTTTACAAGGCTGAGAAATTTCCTTTCTTACATTACTATTAAGAGTCTTTACCCTCTATTCTTTTACTGATTTCTTTCAAATATATCATCATCAGACCATCAGAAATATCTGCAGTATCTTTTAATCATGCTCGAAAAATTAACGCATTTTTATTTTATTTTAAGCAAAGTAATTAATGAAACTCCAAATAAAATAAGTACTCATACTGTAAACTGTGAACTTAAAAACAAATCACACCATGAGCAATAAAGTCAAACGGAGAAATGAAATATTTTGGTGTCTTTTGAAAACTAATCCTGTTTTACGTGCCTGCATGTACGCAGATATGAAATATAAAATACACTAAAATCTGAAGAATTGATTGTGAAGAATACTGCGTCTGAAATGCCCTCTACAGCAGAGGCCTCAAACTGACATCCCGCTTAACAAACTTATGCGGCCCGCGAATGCACTTCCACTATGTATTTGCTGAAGACATACGGTGTTGTAAGCAGCCCAAATGATATAAAAGGTTAGGGAAGCCTATTGCGGTATCGAAAGCCCCGGGCTCGAATCTCGGAGAAGACATGAATGTTTGTAAATGTGTAGTGGCTTTGTGGCATGGGGACAATCTAAATATATGGCGATTCCTCTCGTATGGTGTGGTGGTATGTGAGAGGAGTGGGAGACCCTCGGACCACCCCTCGAGGTGCTTTCCCTCAAAACTTTGGTGGAAGTAGAAATCCGACCTCTTTGAGGCTCTGGCAATTATTCTTCCATAAATTACATGGACAAGATAACAACAACGGCGCTATAAAGATTTCAAGATTTTAATTATTCGAGTTCCGAGTTTACACCTTTAAAAGCGAACCTTAACCGGACTTAACGCATCAGAAAATCGATAAACGGATTAATTTTCAGTGCGATATAAATTATTCAAAGATTTGAAGATGCAGATTTGGTTAAATTTTTTTCATATTTGTCAAAACAATAAATAAGCTCAGTTCAGTATTTTTGCATTAAGAATAATCGCTTCGTTCGAAAATACATTTATACATGAACAACGTTTATTCCGCAATTGAAAATTAATAGAAAAAGAAATTCCATTGAAGTGAGCACCTACAATCCGCGATGAAGATAATTTCTCATTCTCTGAGATATTCTCTGAGGCTACAAACTTTAACAGAATCGAAACGCCAAGAAGTGCCAAACTATAGTAAGAAATGAAACAAAATATAATTATTTACGTAAAAACATATGTATCTTTATTTATCTGTCGAAGAAAAATTTAATAAATAAGAGAATGGGACTAGGTTGTCATTATTTATTCTCAAGTTTTCTCTCACTTGGAAACTAAAAAACTTCGAAATTTCTCATAATTTTTTATTTTTAGTTTAAATTAAAGTAATTCACTTAATGATTAATTAAACATGTTAGAACTATTTTAAACAAATATTAGTCTGAAAATTTAATAGTCAGTATAAATATAATTTAATAGAAATCTCGGAGAAAACATGAATGTTTTTAGATGTATAGTGTCTTTGCAGCCTGGGGGCAACAAAAATATCTTGCAGG